GGCCTTGAACGCAAGGCACAAAGTTAGTACAAAAGCTGCCTTTTGACTGTTTTGCGGGCAGCTTACTTGTGCTTCAAGAAAGGAAGTTTAAACCCGAATTTTGTGTCCTTTTTAGTGTAGAAGTTTACCTTAATTGTTTCCTAGTTATACTATGATTGTATTAGGTTTTATTTGCCTTTAAATACCGTTCTATTTCGTTGTAAAATTCAGACTTTGTTGAATAGAAATCGAAACCGTTTGGTTTGTGCAAGTTGCGACTTGTTTTGGGTTTGGTGGATTCCAAACTTGCTGAGCTTGTGTATCGATTGAATAGTCACTTCAATCGTGGTCGAGCAACTACCCTCTTATACCAATCGAGCTATCCCCAGGTGTGGATTTGTCCTTTTGGTTCCGCTTTATCCAAGTTCGTATTAAGAACGCTTCGTTCTTGATTCGAGCTCAATCGATTCTTCGATTGAGTCGTTTGCTGCGTTACTTTGATAACATACACCCCCCAGGGGCGTATTACTTCGAGGACGGATAGTACCAGTGCACGAATTTGTCAGCCACATCATCCCAAGAAGTGATGGACAGTGATGGCTGAGTTTCTAGCCACCTCTTTGCGTGCCCTGCTAGAGATTGAGGGAAAAGGTGGAAGCGGATATCATCATCTGGAGCACCATTCAACCTGAACCCGTTTGTCAGGTGCAAGAACAGAGAAAGGTGCACCCTCGTCTCTTCATCCTTGAGACCATGAAGCTGAATGGATGTCATAATCAACTGGATCCGGCAAGGCTTGATCTCAAAGTTGTTATCCAGTATGGGTTGATACTAGATGACTGGCCGGATGTCAACGAGTCGCGGACTGTAGAAGTACTCCATGGTGTGCTCTTTTGGAGGCATCTGATGGTTTGCCTCGTCCGCTTGTGGATTGCCATTGTGAGGTGGAGCCTGATTAAATGGAGGGACTTGGAGAGGCATCCCCATATGAGGCTTCCCCTGGTTCAGAGGTGGATTTTGCCCCAAGTTCAAGTTGTTCATCTTGCTGTGCTCGTCTCTCATATTTTCTTCCTGCTCGGATTCGCTACTGATCCGACCGTCGATTTGCTCCTCCTCTGCAACCAGTCTGTTCTTCGAGGCTCTCCGGATGTGGCAAAGAGAGCGCTCAAGCTAGTTGTCAGGGGAAACAAGTTCTTTGCCGGACTGGCTATGGGTCATGCCCTACCTGCACTCAAGCTACAGATAAACCCGTGAAGGCAGAAGGGTGAAATAATGAACATAAAATAATGCAGAAAGGAAATGCTAAAGTAACAGATATCACGTTTCTTCGACAACCTAGCCGTCCCCGGCAACGGTGCCAAAAACTTTACTCACCAATACCGTCACACTAGAAAGTGGCTACTGTAACCACAAACTGATGTATTGTATAGCAGGTTTAACTTTATTGTCAACCCGAGTCCTATATGCGATGACTACTTCATGAAGTTTTTGTTATCTAGTTGTTTAAGTGTAGTGAAGTTGTAACTAAACTAAGCAAACACAAAGCAGTAATTTTTGATTCAAGTTTGAGAGAGGTCACCCAGATATGGTCCCCCCTAGAGTGCAGTCAAGACGGATTGTACATTACCAAGTTCATATATAATGATAGTTATACAGCGGAAGGTTCTTAAGCGTGCGACTAACCTCCACCAGAATAGACGAACTGAGGCCTTAACGTGAAAAACCTCCATTACTGGAATAAATCCAGTACAGAGTAGTGAATTGACTCATCGACTAAAATAGTCAATTCGCCACCTTCAATTAAGGGTGTTCTATCAACCTATGCAAATATTTGATTTCTATTAAAGAAAAGCGAGGAGTCCACAAACCAGAAGACGGGAACAGAAGTTCACGAGGAGCGAACCACTGCCCCAAGACAAGAACAAGACAAAACCTATCAACAATAAAAAATAGGAACAACAAAGTTCCACAAGGAGCCGCAACTTGGTGGACTAAACCACCCCTAAAGCGGAGCCACAGTCATGCACAATAGCAAAAAAGAAAAACGAGAAAAACACTTCCTCTGCACCATGGAGGAGAAAGCCAGATAACCACAACTTCCACTTAATGTCGAGGGCAAGACCTCCACAGCACAGCACCAGATATGAATAGGAAAGTAAGTGAGGTAGACATATAAATGAAGCTCCACTGATCCAAATAAGTTCACATTAGAGCGAGCGCATCATGGGCAGCGGTCACCGATCGGGACGGCAACGACCAGCACCAAGACGAAAACTAGTGCTCACTAGCCCCAACTGTTGTCACCGAACTGACCTCCCCTGGGGCCTTCAGAACACTCCCAAGAAGATGCGATCTCAGCCATCCTGCCCCCTGCTCTCTATCGGCTTTACCATGGGCAACAAGCAATTCAACAGTAGATCTCATTGCATTGTTAAACACGGTCTTAGCACTGCTTATACTGTCTTGGAAGACCCTCCTATTCCTCTCCAACCAAACCTGCCAGCACACCGAATGCAGAATGTCAAATGAAATCCAATCTGAAAGGTTGTCGGGGTGTTCGGAGTTCCATGTTTAGATGGTATCCAGGATGTCTTCATGAGGCTGACCCTGGATACAGCAAACCTTCATCTCCTCTCTCCACACCTCCTTCCCAAAATTGCAGTCAATGAATAGATGATTAATCGTCTCCTCCTCTATGAGATATAGGATGCATCTATTAGCCAGAGAACATCCCCTTCTCATCAAGTTATCAAGAGTAAGAATCCTCTTATGAGCCATGATCCACATGAACATGTTCACCTTGAAGGGATGAACTTACACCAAACAGAATCACTGGGGAAGTCGCTCCCTCCCGGGAAGCGATCATCCATAAGGATCCTGTACATTGAACGAACAGAAAACGACGAGCTGGGATCGGGAGACCACACAAGTCTACTTGGATTGCATGCCACTCGTTTAATGTCAATAGATTCCAATATATTCAAAAAACTAACCCTCTCAGTTTCAGCCCCCACCCCCTCTCAATTGAACATTTAAATCAATATTCCACATCAAATTCTGACCTGATTGAGTGATGTTGTCGGAGATCCAAGCCTCAGGCGAAGCTGTAGCAGCAGCGACACGAGGGAAGGACTGTGCAAGAATCATGTTCAGAATCCAGCAGTCGTTCCAGAAAGAAACCCCCCCCCCCTCCGGGGTCAATGTAAGCCGCCTTCCACAAATCATCATATGATTTGGTGATATTAGCCCAGACTGATCCTCCGAACCCTCTTCTGCACTTCCTACTCTGCCATTCTGAGTCCTCAGCTTGGTACTTAATGCTTATCAGCTCCCTCCACCAATTACCGCGTTCAACGCCGAATCTCCACAACCATTTAGTCAATAGAGATCTATTGAAACACCCCATATCTCTGATCCCCAAACCCCCGTTCTTCTTGCTTGCTTTACACAAATCCCATTTGAGTAAGGGGGTTTTGGGATTCTCCCCAACACCACTCCATATGAACCAACGTTGGATTTTTTATATGATCTCTAAAACAGTATTGGGAGCGCGGAGGAGGGAGAAGAAATATGAAGGCTGGCCGGAGAGAGTGGAGCCATATAAAACCAGCCTACCGCCAAGTGAAAGGTACCTCGCTTTCCATCCTTCCAACTTTTGTTCGATCTTCCTTATAACCGGATCCCAAGTGGACACTGTATTCACCTGCACTCCGAGGGGAAACCAAAGATACTTCGAAGGTTCCCTACTCCAGTAGCACCCGAAGATGGTGGCGTAGAAATCTGGAAACGGAACAACCACCACTGTGATCATAATCGACTTTCCCAAGTTGATCCTCAAACCTGTCACAGCCTGAAAATTAACTAAAGTTGCCAACACATTCAGAACCTGATCCACCAAAGCCTCACAGAAGATAAGCGTGTCATCAGCGAACAAAAGATGAGTAACCTCCCCTCTACGACCCTCTTCATCCATACAAAAACCCCAGATTCTACTGTCCGCCTTTAGTTTGTCAAGCATGAACGAAAGTTTGTCCATAACCAGTGTGAATAGGCCGGGCAAGAGCGAATCGCCTTGGCGAAGACCCTTTTGCGGCTCAAAGTATCCTTTAGCTTCTCCGTTGATTAGTGTGGAGATAACCGGTGAACACATCGTCCCTTTAACACAACTCTGCCACTGCTGTGGAAAATCGAGAGAGGACATAACTTTAAACAAACACTCCCAACTAACGTTATCGAACGCCTTCTCTATGTCGAGTTTGAACAAGAGGCCCGGCTTGCAACTTCTCTTACGATTATCCAATAGCTCGAAAGCAATAAGACCCGCCTCCGATATTTGTCTCCCTTTCACCGAGGCATGCTGGTTTTGTGAGACAAGCTTAGGGAGTACCTTGCCGACTCATTGGGAGAGGATCTTGCTTATTAACTTGTTCAAGCTTCCCATCAAACTAATCGGACATAAGTCTTTAATGTCCTCAACCGAGTCTCTTTTCGGTAGTAAGCACAGGAAAGAGTGGGTTGCACACTTAGGGAGGAAACCAGTCGAATGGAATTCATTAATCACATATATAAACTCCTCCCGAATCAGAACCCACCCCTTCTTGTAGAATTCCCACGTGAACCCATCAGGTCCGGGAGCTTTCCCACCATCACTATCTTTTAAACCCAGCCCATATATCCTGCTCCGTAAAACCTTGAATGAGACAATGCCTATCCACTTCACCCAACTGGATCCTAGCGTATTCCCGCAGAAACGGATGATTCCTGATCTCCTTCTTGAACACCTCGATATAGTAATTCACGATCCCACTAGCCAGTTCAACCCTACCTTCAGGTCTCACCCCCCTGATATTAATACAATTAATGAGGTTGAGTTTTCGTTTGTAATTAGCGACCCGGTGGAAGAAGTTGGTGTAGCTATCCCCTCCCTTTAACCAAAGTTCTTTGCACATTTGTCTCCAATGTATTTCTTGGAGAAAAAGAAGCCTGCTCAATTCCAATTTAAACCCCGGTCTATCTCGAAGCTACTCCTCACTCAGGCTGCGTGCCTCCTCCAGCAGGTCCAGTGCCTTAATCTTCCCCAAAGAGTCTTCCACTAATTGATTTATGTTTCCGAAAACATTCTTGTTCCAATCCTTAATTTGCCACTTCAAATCCTGTAATCTCATGACCCACCGGAACACCCTACCATAGCCTCTCAACGGAATTTTGACCCATGTCTCTAACCCTTCATAGAACCTTGCATCCTCCAGCCATATGTTCTGAAATCTCCATGGTCTCTTGACCCTGATACTATCACCACATTTGATGAACAACGGGTTGTGATCAGACTCAACCCGCTCCATAGCCGTCAGTGTACAATTCGGATACAACTGATCAAAAGATGCGTTTATGAGCACCCTGTCAATATGAGAGACGGATCCAGAGCCATCCCCTCTGCCCAAGGTGAAGTTACCGCCACCAAGAGGAAGTTCCAATAACTCGTTCCTATCAATGCACTCATTGAAACTGCCCATCAGCAGAGCACTGCGTCGCCCCACTTTATAATCCTCATGTCTTCTTACCAGATTGAAGTCCCCGGCTATGCATAAAGGAGTAGAGATGGATTGACATTCGTCATTAATGGCTCGGATAAACTCCAACTTCTTTTCCCTCTCTTGCGGTCCGTAAACCACAATAAGAGACCACACCTTCAAAGAAATAACTTCCTGGAACTCAATGAATAAGTAGAAAGGCCCTTTTCTGAACGAACTAGCTCTAACAACCCCTTTGTCCCAGAAGATTGCTATTCCCTCGCGGCTAAACATGGTGCAAAATATTGTATTTGCTACTAAAAGTATATTATATACAACAAATATATAATTAGCCTCAATATATACTATTATATGCCTATAAAACTAGTTAATATCAGACAGATCTAGAATGTGCCTCTATAGCTTTTAATTTTTGAACTAAAATAGTTTTATAGGCGACTAATAAAAAGTTTGCCTCCATAAATGTTAGTATTTGCCTCTAGTTAAATTATGTTTTATATATTTATATTTTAATCAAAAAAATTAGTAATTAAAGCGGGAAACTAACTCTTTTAAATACTATACATTTAGCACCAAATAAAAATTGGGCAAAACTAACATAACAGACCCAAAATTGAGTTATAGCAATATGATTTGGCGAGACCAGATCAGGTCGGTATCTTTCATGTGAGTAATTGTGAGTAACCCAATCATCTGTCCCCACATGTGAGCCTTTTCCTTTTATTTAAATTAAACACGGAGAGACACAAAGGTAAATTGCACCCCCTATTTAATGCTGACGCTGAGGCGCTGACACTCTGACGCTGACTTTTTTACCCGGCGCGGATCCCACTCCCCCACTGGTTCCCTCTCTCTCACTCTTTGTTTTATTTTATTATTAAAATACATTATTTCTTCTCTCTCCCATCTACAACAAAAATGAATCTAACCATCCTAGCAATCTCTATTCTAATTCCAACTCAAATTGAATGATGATATTTTCGTTAAATAATTCAGTGCTGAAGACACTAATTACAAGTATAAATATGATTATCGCTTTCTACTATTATGGTAAAACATGGTAAAATATGTTGAAGAAAATTACAAATCTAACTACCATACAATACCACATAGTAAAACGTGGTAAAATATGTTGAAGAAAATTACAAATCTAACTACCATACAATACCACATGGTATAACGTGGTAAAACATGCTACAGAAAATTACAAATCTAATTACCATACCATACCATATGGTATAACAAGCTAAAATAAAATTACAAATCAAACTACCACCACATGGTATAACTTGGTAAACAACGCTACTGAAAATTATAAATCTAACTAGCATACAATACCACCATAGTAGAACATGTTAAATCGATAGACCACAAATTAATTATAATTACCATATAATACCACATGGTATGAGAAGGTAAAACCATATAAATCTAATTACAACCCTCTACGACCATAGTAAAAACATGATATTCATAAAAATACATTTCGTTACCACACATTACCATATGGTATAGACACATTACCATATGGTATAGTGTGGTAATCTCAATATATATATACATATATATACAATTACGACTTTCTTCACTTTCTTCTCTCCCTTCATTGTCTTCTAACTCTTCTTTCTCGGAACTGGTGTCGTTTACCACCCATTACCACCATGATAAAACTCGTGACTATAAAAATACATTTAGTTAGCACACATTACCATATGGTATAGTGTGGTCATATCAATATATATTCTCAAAGAGGGGAAAACAGAAGGAGGAAGAGAGAAAAAACTCATCTTCTATCTCCTCTCATTTACTCCTCCACAATAAAGAATACCAAATGCAAAAAGAAAGTAAAAGGAGGAGGAAGATCGGAATTGAAAATTCACAAATAAATACTAAAACACAAAAGATCCAAACTTGACTCACCTAGATCTGTCCCCTCTTTGACAATATGGAGCGTCATCGATTTTGAGGCCGAGAAAAGAAAAAACAGAAGGAAGGAGAAGCTTGAGAGAAAAAGGATTTGGACCGTCACCGAATTTGAGGTGATAGGCTGCAATTTCTTTGTCGATTGTTGGAGAAAAAAAATGAAGAACAAGAGAAGAAATGAGATTTAGATCAGGAAAAAGAGCTTGGAAGAGAGAAATGAAGAAAGAAAGAGAAAAGAGAGAGGAAGAGAGAAGTCTGTTTTCTCTTTCCTCCATAAAAGACATCATATAAATGCTGGATAAGTTAAAAAAAGGAAAGAAATCAAATTTCAAAATCGGACAAAAATGCCCCTCCTTACTCCGCTTGCAGCCCAGCCATATGATGATTTCGTCCCTAGATCTACGGTCCTGGTTTAGTTACTGATAGGTCAGTAACCATTGGTTACTGACTCTATCCTACGGAAGTTCAAAAATTGGGCCTAAAACCCTTATAAGCGGCATCCTCAAAAGTCTAAGTACAAAAATATAGAAAGCTGGAAGCGGCAGGGCACACGAAGCGGCATTTGGAAAAATTTAGTCATAGAGAGCCTCTTTTATTCCCTCGAGCAACAAAAATAAACCCTAATACGGAATACAGAGTCCCCAAGGCGGCGACGGCAGCGTGCAGAGAATCGAAATCCCACCTCTAGGGAGCCTAATCAACGTGCTCGGCGAAACCCAATCGACGTAATCTTCCTCCTTCGATGATACTTCCGACGGAGACATGTGAAATAATGCTAATGAGTTGTCGTTGGGCCTTTCCTACGGATCTTGTGATAGGTAAACCAGTCATTCGCTCTATCTACTGTGAATAGGAATGTCAATTTCGACCTGACCTGTTTGATCTGTTTTGGGACGGGTTCGACCAGCCATGTAGGCAGGACGGAGCGGACATGGGTACTCTCATCGATCCGACTTGCCCTGACCCCCCCCCCCCATTCTCGACCCGTTCTTGCCTAAATTACACGTAATTTTAGTCAAATTACTTAGGATTTCCCTTTTATTACATAATATTAGTTATAATAAAGATGTAAATTAGTGAGAACCTCAATTTCTCCAATAATTTAACTATATTTATCATAATATTGTTTTTATCCTTGGTCTTATAATAAAAATAATGAATATTTTTAATATTTTACATATAGGCGAATTCATAAAGGACCATGCTAGTTTCATCAAGTAAGCTTTGTTCAACTCCCGAGCCGAACGGAGACCCAGCCTGCCTAGACTCTTAGGCTTGCAAATGTGATCCCACAAAACCAGATGAGCCTTTTGCTTCCCAACCCTTGCTCCTCATATAAAGTTTCGTACGAGCCTGTCAATAGTCTCACACACCGAGGTAGGTAACTTTGCAGTCTGCATCACATAAGTTGGCATAGCGTTTAAGACCGAGAGAGTGAGCGTAACTCTACCAGCCAGTGATGGATTCTTCATCTTTCAGCTAGAGAGCTTCCTCTCAATCTTCTCAATCACCAGCTTTAGGTCTCTCTATTTACTCTGCCATGGAGTACAGGGACTCCTAAGTAGTTACCAAGGTTTGTGGTAGCATGGATGCCCATTGCCCTCACAATCTCAGGCGACACACTTATGTTTGTATTGGGCGTGAAGAAGATTTTGGACTTCTCCCGGCTCACTAGCTCTCCAGATACTTTCAAGAAGGTCGATAGTGCATCTGTCATAGTTTTCCCCTGCTTTTTTGTCTCCTCCCTAAACAAAATCAAATCGTCTACAAAAAAGAGGTGAGACAGCTCAGGACCTTCCTTTGAAATTTTGAACGGCTTCCACCTACCTTCTCTAACTTTTCTCATAACAATATGACTAAGTCGTTATATGCAAAGCGTAAAGAGGTAAGGGGAGAGAGGGCATCCCTGTTTTAACCCCCAGGAAGGCACAAATTCGATCGTGTAGGCTGCATGCCACAAGATTTGCATCGAGGTCGTTGTCACACATCCCATAACAATACGAATGAAATCCTGGGGAAGCCCGGCCTGTTGGAGGGTATCTTCAATGAAATGCCAGCATACACGATCATATGCCTTGGCTAAATCCACTTAGAGGATCATGTGTCCCTTAAGCCCTTTCTTCTGCTCCATAGAGTGAACTATCTCCTCCAAAATAATTCTGTTACTGGTTATGTGACGACCAGGAACGAAACTAGTTTGAGAAGAATGAAGCAGCTTGTGCATAAACCCTTTCAGCCGATTAGCTAAACATTTGGCTGTAGCTCTATAATCCACATTACAGAGGCTAATAGGTCTAAATTGGTTAATCATTTCAGGATTTGCCACTTTGGGAATTAAGGTGATAAGATTCTCGTTAATATACTTGAAATTAGCTGGGTTATGAAAATATGAAATTGCAAAGGAGAAAAGATCCTTCCCAATCTTATGCCAGCATTTTTGGAAGAACACTGCTTGATAGCCGTTCTCTCCTAGGGCCTTTAGCCCCGCTATCTCTTTCACTGCTCACATCAACTCCTCCTCTGTCAATTCCTTCGTCAACATTGCCAAATCTTGTAACTCCAGCTGCGGAAAGTATCCTTGAAGGTAGTTATGGTCATGCATCTCCTCAGCGTAGAGTTCCACATAGAAGCCTCGTACAAGAGTCTGTAGCTGAGCAGGATCCAAAATCCACTGTCCCTCTGCATCTTTAAGACATTTGATCCTGTTTCTTTTACATTTGGCTAGAGTGGAGAGGTGGAAATATCGGGAATTTTGGTCCCCAAAAACAGTCAACCTTGTTCTTGACTTGTGAATCAAAAGGACCTCCTCCTCCCACAAGGTCTCCTCCATCCGCTTTCGCACTTCATTTTCCTCATGGATGGTTCTGTCCGACGGTTGTTGATAATTA